TCTATTGACTGTGAAATAATTTATGTTGAATAAAGCTATAATAAGTTGAAATAATTGAATGAACTTGTAGATTTATAAATACCCACTGTCATTTGTCTGTTCATCCGTTTGTCGTTTTTTAATATCGACAACTAAACTATCATATCGACAATTAGCTGCAAAGACCCGGTTCGCTGGGTTTTTATTTGTATGTAATATAGTTTATATATATATATAGAAGACTGTTTTTCTAAATAATCTAAAATCTAGCTGCAAGGACCCGCTTCGCTCGGCAAAAAGTAACGATAGTGATGATTAAGATAATTACATTATAGCCAATCTTACCCGTTTTCACAGAATGCAAGAATTAGGTTCCCCATTTCCAGACTAATTAGAGAATTTTTACATGAGTCTCAAAATATATTCGATTTCCCGCAAAAACGCAAAAAACCGCCTGTAAATCTTGCATGCCGCTTTATATTAACACTTCCTTTGTTACTCAACACTTCCACTGTTAACACTGCTATTGTTAACACTTTCATTGTTGACACTTTCATTGTTACACATCTTCGAAGTCAACCACTTTCAACACCATATCTCCCGCACCCTTATAGCACAGAATGCAAGAATTAGGTCTCCCGTTTCCAGACTAATTAGACAATTTTTACGTCCAGTGAAACGAACTATTTTCAATTTGATCAATTTTCTGGAACGTTTACAATCGTTCTATAACCGAACCAATTCGAAAATTTTCAAAATCGAAATAGAAAATCTTCCAATTTCAACCCCATCTCTCTCACACCCTTATAGCTATCGAGACGCAACCACCATAATGCACGAATGGAGACTTGGGGCTACTACCACATACAAACACCATTCATGTGCGATGTGTAGTTTTGGCTGAAAAGTGAAATATAGGGACACACACGTCCATTTTTATATATAGATATAGATATAGATATAGATATATAGATTTTTAATTTTAGCCCTTATATCGTGGCTAGCGATTCGGAATGTAATTGCGATATTGAAAATTTATTTTTAAAAAGTTTTGGCTCGAGATCATATAATGAAAAAGAAAACATTATTAAAAAAGAAAGGCCAATGCCTAAGTTAAATAAAAACACTTCAATAAAAAATTTGTTCGACATTTTCACGATAAAATGGTTCTGTAAATGCATAAAAATGCAAAAATTGTTTTGTTGGCTCGCCTACTATTTTCAAATGAAATTAGGGCGTGGAATAAGAATGGCTTTGACAATTTAGCTGGCAAAAGACACGAAAAATCGCCGATTCTTTCGTATTTTAAGCAATTTGAAAATCGAAGCAGAATAGAATTTAACATTAGTAAATAGTATAAAATAAATATTGAAAAAGAGATAGTTACGGTTAATAGATACATTATATCTAAACTAGCTGTTACCCGCGACTTCGCCCGCGGAGGTTTTGCAAGCAAACTCCATTTATATTCAGTATTTCAACGACCATAGTAGTTGTTATATAACTCCTACCGCCGAGAATGATGAGAATTGCTGAGAATCAAACAAACTATTTTCAATTTGATCAATTTTCTGGAACGTTTACAATCGTTCTATAATCAAACCAATATGCAATAACAAATTCAAATTTAAAACGGTTCGAACATTTGGATGAAAAATCGAAATATATAAAAATATTTATAACAATGTCTGAAATGTTGTTAATTTAATACACCTAAGTACTCGATGAAGACTAAATCCTCTCCCTCTCCCCCGCAGGGGAATTTCGAAAAATCCCTCCTTATTGTGCATTGCCATGGCGTACCCTACTAAAAGTCAGATATAAACTAAAAATCGCATCTAAAATAGTACAGTAGAAGCCGTTCTTCGGGTTAAGCCTTAATGCTCTCCCTCACCCCTCCGCGGAGAAATTTCTAAAAATCCCTACTTATTGTGCATTGCCATGGCTTACTCTACTAAAACGCAGATAAAAACAAAACATCGCATTTAAAATAGTACAGTAGAAGCCGTTTTTCCGGTTAACCCTTAATGCTCTCCCTCTCCTCCCACTTGGGAATTTCGAAAAATCCCTTCTTAGTGTGCGTTTTCACGACGTACCCTAACTGTGTATCAAATTTCATTTCTCTAGGTCCAGCGGTTTGCTCTGGGCGATGATGAATCAGTGAGTCATTCAGTCAGTCAGGACAAGCAATTTTACAGTATATATATAAACTAGCTGCAAGGACCCGCTTCGCTGTGTTTTTATTTGTTCGTACATTTGTATGTAATATAGTTTTTGTTTATATATAAAAGACTGTTTTTCTAAGTAATCTAGAATCTAGCTGCAAAAACCCGCTTCGCTGGGTTTTTATTTATGGGCAAAAAGTAACGATGTGAAGATTAAGATAATTACATTATACCCAATCTTACCCGTTTTCACAAAATGCAAGAATTAGGTCTCCCGTTTCCAGACGTTTCCAGAGAATTTTTACATGAGCATAAAAATATGTTCGATTTCCTGCAAAAGCGCGAAAAACCGCCTGTAAATCTTGCACGCTGCTTTATATTAACACTTCCTGGTCCCGATTCTATTTCTGAACGTCTCCCGTTCACGTCCAGTCAAACGAACTATTTTCAACGTTTCTGGAACGTTTACGATCGTTCTGTAATCGAATCAATATTCGAAATTTATGTTCGAATTTGTTCGAACAAATTCGAACATTGTCGAATTAAATTCGAACAAAACATTCAAAATAGAAAGCCACTTTCAACCACTTTCAAGCCCATATCTCCCGCACCCTCATAGCTATCGAGACGCAACCCCCCATGCACGAATGGAGACTTGGGGCTACTACCACATACAAACACCATTTACGTGCGATGTGTAGTTTTGGCGGAAAAGTGAAATATAGGGACATACATGTCCATTTTTATATATATATAGATATAGATATAGATAGATGTTATATGTTTTTATGAAAGCAAGAATTGGCATTTAGAAGGCATATGAAATATATTGAAATTAATAACAGAGGTAACTATATTGAACTTGTTTATTTATTAAGTACGTCAGATAAATAATCTATTAAAAATACATTTAAAGAAAGAATAAACTGATTGCCCTGGAAGTCGGCTTCTTATAGAAACACAGTTTCCATATCATCAAATGTCACGGTACGCCACTGCTAAATATATAAAATTACTTCTCGACTGACTGACTGAGTCACTGATTGACTTAGTCACTGATTGATCATCGCCCAGAGCAAACCGCTGAACCTAAAAAGATGAAATTTGGTACACAGTTAGAGTACGTCATGAAAACGCGCACTAAGAAAGGATTTTTCGAAATTCTTCCGCGGGGGAGAGGGAGAGCATTAAGGCTTAACCGGAAGAACGGCTTCTACTATACTATTTTAGATGCGATTTTTTGTTTTTAACTACGTTTAGTCTTCATTGAGTACTTAGGTGTATTAAATTGATAACATTTCACACATTGTTATAAATATTTTTATCTATTTCCATTTTAAAAATGTTCGAACCGTTTTAAATTCGAATTTGTTATTGCATATTGGTTCGATTATAAAACGATTGTAAACGTTTCAGAAAATTGATCAAATTGAAAATAGTTCGTTTGATTCTCGGCAATTCTCTTCAGCGGTAGCTGTTATATAACAATTACTATGGTTATTGAAATATTGAATGTAAACAGGGTTTGCTTGCAAAACCTCCGCGGACGAAGTCGCGAATAACAGTTAGTCTATATATATAAAAATGAATGTATGTGTGTCTGTGTGTGTGTGTGTGTGTCCTTCATGCATTACCACACCGTTTATCCGATTGCCATGAAGCTTTGGGAAGTTTTTTAATACACTCCCGCAAAGTTTTCTGGCATTTACCCTACGATAGATGGCGCGCGTTTACACAGCATTCGAACACAGTGTGTTCGATTGATTTCAAATTGTAAAGACCATTTCCTCTCTTTCAAAAAATATCTTTATATATGCATTTGTGAATTGTTATTTACGATATTTGTAATAATTTTTGTTTAATCACTTTATTTCAACTTTTTTTTTGCTAATTATGCTTAAACTTCGTTAAAACCTTAACTGTACCCCGAACAACAACCGAAGTTGTAGGAAGAAATTCGCGTATTTTACCGATCTAGGTATCCCCTTTTTCCAAATTTTAATATTGACTCAAAATAATTTAAAAAGACAAATTACAATAAAACGGTTTATTATCCAATTATCAGAAATTTCACAACATGCCAAGGAAGAGAGGAAGGAGCAATTAAATAATATATAAATGGGGAATATCGCGCTTCTGACAATCGCTGCGAGTGTGTGGGCTAAATTTGGAGAATCCGTGCTTCTCGCGTGGACAACTGTATGTGGCCGGCTCACGCGTCAGAAAATCTTCTGATTTATTCGTGTACGCACCAGACGGAGAAACAAAAAATATCGTGTATCCACAAACACTCCAATAAATAAATAGAATTGAAACGACACTTTGAAATGTTTTCCCGATGAAAATGAATAATAATAAGTTTCAATAAAAATGATAAAATGTAAATTGAATTTTATCATAACGAGTTTGCTTGAATTTCCTTTCTTCTGAGATCGCAGCAATGCGCGACGGGTAAGCTAGTATTTCATATAACGGACCTATATATCATTGCAATTGATAATTATTATATTTTAAAATTTATCACTAACAGCAGTAAGCTATTATACGTGTTTGAACGAGATGTATCAGCAGCAGGGGACAACTCGAGATAGAAATCATACTTGTTTTCTTTTTTTTAACACATGGCTTAACACGTCTAGAATGAAGTTTCTAATTCGTTTTAAGTGGAAGAATGAATCAATCTGAAGAGTAGTGTTTAGTCACTCAATACATCTCATTATCTTTCGTATAGTCCTTATCACGTGTAAGCTTTTATGTGTAAAATTCTGATACATTAAGAAATGTTTCCTAAAAAATCTCGTCTCTCGCTTCACAAGTTACGCATGTGAGGACGAGATTTTTTAAAAATGTCAACATCCGCTGGAGGGCGCATAGACAGACAAGAGCGGGAAAAAGTGTTCGAAAGTCGTCCATTCTTTTATTATTTTGATCGTTCGGGATCGAACAGAAAAGTTAGAAGACGACGGTTGGAAAAGAACGTCGTTGGGCGTTATTGAAATGAAGTTGTAGAAAATGTTTACGTGAAGTTTACTTTTATTTAACTACTTATTATGCAAGGAGAATAATGCAAAAGGATGTTGGTAAAGCTGAAGATGGACGAGGTTAGTCTGTAGATTTATAACTGTACATTTAATTTTAACCTTTGCTAAGATACATATAACTAACACCTTATTCTTGCTGAGAAATATAATTTATTTGAAACGAACGTTTTCAGCCTGATTCACAGGCCATCCTCAGGTTTAGAACAAATTTGAATTAAAAGATTCCATCAATGGAATACAAAATTCAAAATTAAATAAGATAAAATTAAAATAAATTAAAGTATTAAATAACCAACAGAGTAACATCCTCGAACCTTTTCTGTGAGCAATCTCTTTCATGACTCTATTCATACTTTCATTATATGTAAATTTTACGATTCTATTGGGAGNCAAGAATAAGGTGTTAGTTATATGTATAGTGATTTGCTGAGTAGTTTATGATATCTTTGCTAAGATATGTGATTTTATATTATAAAAAATGCACGATATGAAATTCAATAACTGCATTAACATGTATTCTACTTTGTTTTTGTGACTATCTGCTCTATGATTACCTTATTGATATTATCTAGTGCCGGATTAACTGACTTCCACCGTATTATATTCTTACTTATTTGATAGGATTTCGGTCATCTCTCAACGTTAATAAATATTTATGATGTGCATTGCTAGATTTCGCCCAAAAATATAATAATTAATTATTATTAATAATCTTTATGGATAAATAGATAAATAATCTTTAGGGATAAAAATGGATTATTCCTGTTGTGGGGGTTGTACAAATTTAATTTATAAACATTCCTTTATGATAACATTAAATAATATTGTAACATTCAGAAGTTTTTTATACAATAGATTTCATATTAGGTCATTATTAACATAATTAATAACAATAGTTACATAATGATAACATTATATCCAAACAACAATAGTTAAGTTTTACAACAGTATCATAAGTTAACCCTGCTGATTTCATTTTCTAACATTTCTGTCGCCTTGATGAAGTATTTATATAAATTGTACAGATTTTTTTTATTCAAACTATTTAGAATATTTCTGTAATCTTGGTGTGTATTATCGTGTAACATTGGCGAGACATTGAAAGAGTCACGTGTATTGTACGTTTGTATGACATTTCTGAAGTAGGTGGTTGATTGAAGATTCTCCTGATTTACACCATGGGCAATAATTATATGATAGATTAATATACAGCGAGAATTTGTTTAATATTAATATAGAATAAATTTGATTGAAATAATTATTTTTCTTGAAAATCAAATATTTAATTTCTAGATATAAAATTAAAAATATAGAGAAATAATAAAACAAATGTTTCCTTTCTAATATGTAATTAGATAATTTTAAAAAGTTTACATACATTATAAAATTAATTGTACTTATCTCAGTGTATGTGTACACTCACACATACATATACATACACACATTTATTATTTTTTTATTACAAGATGAAATTTTTTGTTCTAAAAAAGTTGTAAAACTAAAAAAATTCAAACTGTGTACATCCAGTCTGGATATAACAAATGTTTCCTTTCTAATATGTAATTAGATAATTTTAAAAAGTTTACATACATTATAAAATTAATTGTACTTATCTCAGTGTATGTGTACACTCACACATGCATATACATACACACATTTATTATTTTTTTATTACAAGATGAAATGTTTTGTTCTAAAAAACTTGTAAAACTAAAAAAAATTCAAACTGTATACATCCAGTCTGGATATAATTTTATTCAATGATTTTCATTGCGAAATAAAAAGATCTTTAAAATCTTTACATAAATGATCTAATAAAATCATAATTATTAGATTATGAATATAATTTCATAGAATTTTCGTATTAAGCATGATAAATTACATATAAAAATGCATCAATGCTATTACAAATTATATTATATCACTACAGTATTACTAATGAAGACTTTACTAAAAAAAAAATTATTTAGAAAATATATTTATACTTTCTCAGCAAATTATTTTTTATATCAATTTTTTCATCTATATCTATATACAGTCGACCCCCCCTATAATTACGGTCCCTATAATTATGATTTCTATAAAACTACGAAAAAAGAGTAAAAATTCCCTATAATTACCTCAAACATCATCGGGCAGCCGAACTACTTTCCTGCCGTCCATAGCGCCAACTACGGAGAGATTTCTATCATCTGGACAGTATTATATAAATTATATATAAATTAGGTACTGTACATATAATTATATATTAATTATATATAAATTAGGTACTGTATATATAATTATATATTAACTTATTGTAACTTTGTTATAATTAAATATATAATTTCCGCCGTCTAGCGTGGCGCCACGCTACGGAGATTTTTACGCTAACTATCGTCTGTCAGTATGTAAATTAGGTACCGTAAGTCTAATACAGTACTGTAATTTTATACATTTCTTGTGAAAGAAACATTTCTTATTCAACGGCGATTAAAATTATTTATATTAATGATGTCTCCGAAGTTCTAC